TTAATATGACATAAAATATGTAAAAATAGAGTAAAGCATTCCAAGAAAAGGATTATAAAAACATTCATTTTACAGTTCATCAGTCACCTTTGAGGTTGTACACGGGTTTATAATCATGTTCCATTAATATCTTGTGAGTGCAATAAGAAGGTTCCATTCACAACATATCGATAATTTTCTACGCGACAACCTTTGGGTGATTTCGAAGCTAAGTCACCAGTTGTGCCTTCTGTTATAGGGATATATAAGAGCTTATGATTGCTAGAAACTTGGAATTATCTGTTAGGTATGCGTATTCCAAGTACTGTGGAAGGGGTTGGGTTTGGTATTGGTGGTTCCTTGTAGGAAGTTTTAATGATTGGATTTTTGGTGAAGCTACAGGTTTGTCTTCACATGGAGAGGGGATTGAAATAGGAGAATCCGTTGTCCCCGTTTCTCTTTACCTTAGTCATGGACCTGCTATCGTACTTGTAGTTGAAAGTGAAGAAGATGGATCATATTAATGGATTATGCATGGATGAAATAAGGATGCACAGCGAAGTTACTCATCTATTGTATACTTATGATACTATTATTTTTTGCGACGCCTTGGAGGAAGAAGTTGTCAATGTGTTGGCAGTTTTACTATGCTTTGAAAGCATTACAAGCTTGAAGGTAAACTTAGAGAAAAGCAAGATGTACCCGGTTGGTGATATTCCAATATTGACAGCTTGGCTGCGAGTGGGAGTTTTCGCCCACGGTTTACCTTGGGCTTCTCCTTGAAGCTCATCCTTATTAAGTAAATATTTGAAAACCGATCATCAACAAGCTTCAAAGAAGACTCAACAGATGGAAGGGGAGGCTCTTGTCGATGGGAGGAAGAATTGTATGTAACAATAGTATGCTTGCTGCCCAACCAATATGTCTTCTCTCTGCTTAGCTCCAAAATCTATGGCAGTCTCTCTTAAAATTGGTGCAAAGTTCCAAAGAGGATTAGAGGGTTGGGCATAATGGATATGAACCTTCACAATATTTCGCTTCTTTGTAAGTGGCATTGTAGGTAAGTCACCGAAGGAGATTCTTTGTGGAAATGTCTTATTTTGGCTAAATTCCCAAATAGAAATACATAGTGGGGTACGACTGATTAGTATGGTGCTTTGGTTCGGCCCTTGGTTATAGATCACTAAGTTGAAGGAAACTTTTTGGAAATATACTCAAGTGCAATCGGGGTGTGGAGCGTGGATTTCATTCTGGCATGACGCATGGATTAAAGAGAAGCCCCTTGCTAAAATGTTTCCTATGGATGGTCATTGCTGTTGACTGTCGCATTTACTAGTGGTCGGGTTAATAATGTTTTTGAACCTTGAGAGTGAGAGTTTTTGGGTTTTACCTCTATAATTTTGATCTAGGGGGGAGAGGGAGAGGGAAGCTCTATATGATCTACTTGAGACTATTGTTTCCAATTTTTCGCTCACATGTGCGGAATCCAGATAAAATCTTGTGGCTTCCTTCTCAATGTGGTTTCAACGTCGCTTCCTTATATGATCAACGCATTGGAGAACAACAGTCGGGCACAATGGAGTTTCCTACTAGAGTCGTATGCCATCAACTTATCCCCTTCAAGGTCTGCATCTTTATGTGGATGGCTCTTCAGCATAGTATTCCTACTCACAATGCATTAAAGAAGAGAGGTTGGGTGTTGCCGAGTTGTGCCTGTTGTGCACAAATAGCGAGGAGGATGCCAATCACCTATTCCTAACATTGCATATTTACGAGACAAATTTGGATGAGGTTAGCAAAATACATTTGCTTCGAAACCATCAATTCGAATGAGCTGCAAATTGTTATTACATGATGGCCTCATCATGTCTCACACAACCCTAAAGAATCGCCCTAAAAAAGCCTCATTCATGCTGTTTGTTGGGCGGTTTGGAAAGAGAAGAAGACGATAATTTTCAAAGATATTTGTTTCCCCACATCATTTGTTTGCTGCATAGATAGCGTGTAAAGTTGATAGATTGGTTGGGGAGGGTTGGTTATCTAAGATGGAGAGAGTTGCTTTCTGATGCAGATGCCTCTCTTTAATTTTAGGCAAAATACACAAGTATAGCCAAAACTTTGTCGGTTTGGTCAAACATAACCACTTTTGGCGAAATACCAAAAATAGCCACTTCCGTCCAATTTTTTACACACGTGCTGACTGGACTAACAGAAAAACATTTTAGTCAATAAAAATATGAGATGGTATTAACTGACAAAATAAAAATAAAATAATTCATTCTTTTTTATTTTCTCTCTCCCCTCTCGGTTCTTTCCCATTCCCTTTCCCCCAACCGCCTCTCATCTCCTCGAATTTTTCCCTTCGTCTCGCTCTGACCACCGCCGTCGAGAAACCTCCTCTTCACTCACCAGAAAATCATTCACAATACATCAATGATCTGGCAAAATACATATGTTGCATCTTCGAATATACTGATTCTACGACCATCTTCCTATCCCAACAAAAAAATCCCAAATGCAACCATGAATGAAAATAGCGACGATTTCAACCTTTCAAATGGGAACTCCGCCTCTGATTGGAGCGATTTTCTTATCGGAAAGCATTCCTCTTTACACAAGCCCTTCGCCGCCTCTCTCGAATTCGCCATTGAACTTTCTAATCGCCTTCTTCAGCTCGACGATTTGTTCGAATCCACACTAATGAGTCATGTCGATGACGGAAACGACAACTGCCAGAAGAGGAGCCGCCTAGGCCGCAACGAGGATTTCGACGCGCTGAAGGCGTGCATCAAGCTCGGGATCGGGTTCGAGCCGGATTCGCTGGATTTGGATCCCAGACTTTTCAATGCACTCCCATGGGATTCTACTACGCCGTCAACAAGCAGTACAACGAGATCTTGTCGCACTTCTTCCGACTCGTCCATCTCGTTCTGTCTCACTCCAGTGGAAGTTGATTTCAGCAGATCTTGAAGTCGAAGCACTGGAGGCTAAAAATTCTAAGCCCCAGCTGTCTGTGGCGATCGATTCCCCTCTCTAAACGACAGCCGGAGGCAAATTCATCTAATCCCGAGCAGAGATCTGAAGCTACGCTATCTTGGACGGCACCCGGCGGCTGGGGACTATACTCCCGATGAGGGATTTCGGGAAATAGAGTGGCAATTTCGTGGATGGATGTGCCATTTTTAGGAAGCGGAGTAGAAAGGAAAGAATTCAATCGGAGAAGATGAAGTTAGGAGAAAGAATATGAGAATAAAAATAAATAAAAAGATAATTCGAAATTTCTATTTATTTATCCAGGTGGAATTGTTAACAGATAAATCAAAATGATGTGGCAATGATATTGATGACTTGTCGCTGATGTGTGTGATGATTTGGCATCCTAGTCAGCCTAATGTAACTTAACTAACAGAGTTTCTAACACTGTTAAAGTTTGTAACGGAAGTGGCTATATTTGTCAGGAAACTTTCAAAATTCTAGCTATTTTTGGTATTTTGTCAAAAGTGGCTATTATTGTCACAAATGTCAAAGTTTTGGCTATACAAATGAATTTTGCCTTAGTTTTATAAGGAGTTCTCAAAAGTGTACATATGTGTCAATCATCAGTTTTAGCAGATAGCTCTGCAACGGGTACTCATTGGATGGTGGATATTTGGCTCACAGATTAAAAAAAGGGTAAATACAATTTAATATCCAAATCTTTTATTTTAAATAATATAATAGCCAAACCTTTTCGAAAACAATCTAATATCCAAATTGTCAACTTTCCGTTCGTTTGACCGTTAGTTGACACTTCAAAAAAGCTTTGTTTAGGGTAAATTGTCACAATACAACTTTGTTTCTTGTTTTGGCATTGCAGATGACTGAATATTTAGATATTCTATACCATCATGGTGGAGTCATGGACTTCTCGGGTTTGGAACTACGATATGTTGGTGGGTTTTCAGAGAAGATATCGATGGATATTGATGAAGTGTCGTGCTTCGAACTTTTTTGAAGTGTCAACTAACGGTCAAACAGATAGAAAGTTGACGATTTGGATATTAGATTGTTTTCGAAAAGGTTTGGCTATTATATTGTTTAAAATAAAAGGTTTGGATATTAAATTGTATTTACCCTTAAAAAAACTAGTCTCGAAGTTGTGCATTATATATGGTATATCATGTTTGTACTTTGTAGTGTTGTTGAGACTTACACAAGGTTGTCAAACCGGTTTATGCCAGTGTGTCGGTTTAGCAAGTGTAATGGTTCAACCAGTGGTACATATCGGTTTGTGTTGTTTCATGCTGGTTTAAATTACAAATAAACTTACAAATACTCATATTTAAACACGACATTTAACATCAAAACCTAAACATTTATACTTGAATCCAACAAATAACATCAACATTTAACTTTTAAACTCATAAAATAAATAATAAATTAATTTTTATAAATTAAATTCACTAAGATAATGTTATTTTACTTAGAGATTCCTAGATCGATCACGCCGGTCATAGCGGTAGTGTCACGCCAATTTTATGACTGGTATCGGTTAAACCAGGTTCAACCGGTGGCACACCGGCCGGCGTGACAACCATTCACTTACATATATATATATATTTTCCCTGCCACCTTCTTGAAGGCCGTTAGAAAGTTTGAATGCCGCATGTATGAAGCAAAGTAATGTAGACAAAAAGCTCATACCCTGTTTCATGTAAGTAGCTACTAGTTGAATTATAGAACAATAACAACAATACTGGCCGCTCATTTGCAGTAAAGGAAATAAAAGTCTGCAGATTTGCGAGCCAATGCTTGCTGGGCTGCCTGATCCTTCCTCGAGTGCAAGATTGAGCTAGCAGTGACTTTAGCCCAAACAAGCAGCTGAAGTTCAAGCATGAAACCAAGACTTAGATTGATTGTTTGTTACAGTTTGTATCCTTACTATTGCTGGTTTATTTGCCACTGTAGTATGCATTTTCTTTGGTGTACTTTCCCTGGAGATACTTAGTTCTTCTATACTCTAATTTTCTTTTTAATTAATACCAATGCAGTCAAAAGCGTTATACTATTCTACATAGAAGTGTAAAATCATAAGCTTTCGAACTTTAAAGCGTAGATTTTGACTACACTTACAAGAAAAAGTTGGTGGTAAATATGACATGAATATTGATCAATAGCTACATATACACTATCCATCCTTCCGAGTAGAAAAGATGTTAAAAAGAAAGAAAAAGAGATTTGTCACCGATTGAGTGCTATGGACAAGACTACAGATAACACAAACCAGCCCAACAGGAAGTACCCCACTGCTCTCGTCGGTCCGTCGTCCTCCGGCTCCTGTTCAACCCAAAGACAGAAACAAGTTTGCGGTTAAAATCCAACGTCAAAATCCATTCACTCCTCCGCTCCGAACGAAAGAAAGAAAATGAGTGACCTGCAAGATGGGCGGAGTCTCCGGCGAGGCGATCTGCGTGATATCAGACTGCGACGGCCAACTGTACTTCTCTGGATTATCATTCCTCGCCAAGCTCCAGTCGTACATTCTCCTCTCCTCCACCGACGACAATATGGAGTACGATTCCTGCAAATGGCATCAACCCAAAACGTATTCCGGATGAATTGCAAATTGAAAACTCAGACCAGAGAAAAGGGTCCAAAAAAAAAAAAAAAAAACTCCACAGACCTTGAGAATTCCCAATTCATCTCTCACTTGTTCCTCTTCCAGTCCCTTGTTCAGCACTTCATCCACCTTGTTCTTGTACCCAGCTGTGACCTCTTCATAAGAGCATCCTCTTCGAAGCCCAAGAACAGCATAGTGATCTACATCTGTAATCGCTGCGAAATTCCAGATTTGCTTTTAGACATCACTGTCCGTACCCAATGAAATCAATCAATTGAATAATAATCTGGGGATTGAAGGGGAAAAAACTGAGTTACGGATGCCGCGTAAAGCCCTTTCCACGTTGAGAGCAGAAATCAAAGACGGAGGTCCCTCTGGAACTTCAATCGAGCCCTCCCATCCTCCTTCTTCCACCTCTGTTGTCGCTGCACTGCCCGACGACGACTGCCCGCCGCCGGCGTCCGAGCTGCTCCTCACCACAAGTTGTGCACTTCTACGGAGCTTTGAGCTACCCTTCTCCAGTGATAGGATACAACAGTACTTGGCCCCATTCCTCTTATGAACACCCGGAGGCCCAGAAATGTAGAGCGTTGTTGCTGAAGTGGATGATACCGCCGCCATTGTTTCCGTCTTTGCTGCAGACTACACAGAGAGCAGAACCTTTTCTTCCTCCTCTCTCTCTCTCATAGGCCACATATTTTTATTCCCTACATAAAGATAAGCCTTTCTTAATATATTAATAGAGTTATTATAGTAATTCAAGCAACAAGGTCGTTGTAGTATAGTGGTAAGTATTCCCGCCTGTCACGCGGGTGACCCGGGTTTGATCCCCGGCAACGGCGTTATGAATTTTGTCTACACCAATTTTTTCTTCTTTCTTTTCTTAATTCAATATCCGAACTCCGAAGGCCATAATTCAAGCCATTTCCCTTCCCTTCTCTTTCTTCTGGTCCGGCGGTCTCTGCCTCCCGTCATTCTCAGTCCTAACTTCCCCAGACTCTTTAACCTCTACCTTCTGCAATCCGTTCCTTAGGAATGGTCGATGGCTTTTTAGGGCAAATGGGTCAGGAGAGTAGCGGGCAACTGAATTCTAGCTCTGACCATGACGGCTCCGGTGAGGGAGAGCCCGGTTCTCCTCCAGGCGGCACGGCTTCCACTTCCAGCAACCAACCGCGGCGCTTCCCGTTGGCGGCTCAGCCGGAGATTATGAGAGCCGCCGAGAAGGACGACCAGTACGCTTCTTTCGTCTATGATGCCTGCCGCGATGCTGTTCGTCATCTCTTCGGTCCTTTCTCTTTCCCCCATCCTCTCTCTCCGCTTCAATTCCCAAATTGCTCTTATCTTTTGACATCAATCTGCTCTGGGTTTTGTCCCGGCACCGATTTCGGGTTGTGTATTTTTTGCAGGTACAAGAGTTGCTCTGGCTTACCAAAACGAGGTTTGGTTGCATATATTCTGTGCTTGCGAATTTTGTACTGATTCCCACTTCCACACACCACCAGATAGATAATTCATGGGGGACCCCTGGTTATTCTGCAGACGAAGCTTATTGGGCAGATGCTTTATTATATATTGACAACAGGTGCTGGCCAGCAAACCCTTGGGGAAGAGTACTGCGACGTTATTCAGGTAGTTCTTGTGCTCAAGGCCTCGGATTCTGTACTCGTTTTTTTCATTTCCAGCTCTCACTGTAGTTCTTGAATTGAACTACTTTAACTCTTTAAGCTAGTCATAGCTTCCTATAAGCTTCCCAAGAATATGAAGCCAGACTATCTATTGGTTGTTTAAGATTAGAATCAGAACTTCCCTTTGTTGTTTTGTAAGGTCTGAGTGTGGCTTTTGCTAGTTATGTAACTGGGTTCTGTTCTGTGTTGACCGGCATTAAGGGAAGTGTAATGTCTTTCACATTAAGTTTTCTGATTTGACTTGTTTGGGTTCATTAATGGAGGGTATTTCTCTCAGGTTTCAGGGCCTTATGAACTTCCACCAACGCCAGCCAAGAGGGCTCTTTTCATTTTATATCAGACAGCTATTCCTTATCTGACTGAAAGAATTAGGTCTGGTTCTGCTTCTTTCCAGCTACAGCTTACTTGCCTTGAATAAAACTTCAATGAATAAAACTTCAAGAGAATGATTTTCGTTATTGCAAGCTTGCTCTGAAGTTTTATTCACGCTACTTTTTCTGCAGCTCAAGAGTTGCTTCCCGTGGTATTGCTCTTTCTGAGCTGCAGTCTGATGACGACTACGGTGAAATGGCTCCAGGGGGAAGTAATAGGGTTCAGACTTCTGCAATGGTAGATGTTTCATCTTACTCAACGCCTGGAAGATCAGTTTCATTACTATCAAACTTAAAGCAGAAACTATATAGCCTTTGGTTGCTCACAGTTCGAAGATGGCCTGCTGTAAGTCTACCCTCTGCACTGTAGTTATACATACAACCCGCAAGAATCAATCTTCTAATCTCTGGTATATTTTATGATGAAAATCTATTTGTTTGAGTTTTCCTTGATGTTTGACATCCACTAGTCCTTTTGTTTGCAAAATATTTTAGTTGTCCATCATCCTTTGTAACTTTCTTTAGTTTCCTTGTGTCCTCTCCCTTCTCCACCTCACCCGTGAATAATAGATGGGTCTCTTGTATACTATGTACCCAAGTTTTACTTATTTCTTTGTCTAGTGTTGGATGGCCAATAATGCCAATGAGAACTTTTCTTCTGTTCCATTCAGATGCTCCCTGTGGCTCGGGAATTTTTGCAGTTGATTCTACGGACAAACTTAATGTTTTTCTACTTTGAAGGTATGTACTAAGAGACCACACATCAGTTTTATTTAGGCGTTTTCTTTTGTAACCGAAAGTAGTCTTTATTCTCTCTCCGCCAAACCTGTCTTTCTTTCTCTCATTTCTCGTACCTTCACAGGTTTATATTATCACATATCTAAACGAGCAGCTGGCATTCGTTATGTTTTCATTGGGAAGCCCTCCAATCAAAGACCAAGGTATACCTTTCAGTTGAAATTCTTATTTACATGTAAGATGCCTCAGCTGCTTGTGTCGTTTATTGTTCTAACATCATTTGCTGCTTGTCAATGACAACTTATGTTTTAACTGCAGTTTGATTTTGAAAACTACCATATTGGTTTCTGGTTTAGGTACCAAATACTTGGTGTATTCCTTCTAATTCAGTTATGCATCATTGCGGCTGAAGGTCTTCGAAGAAGTAACTTGTCCTCTATTTCAAGTACAGTTCAACAGACATCCTTGGGGTCTCGCCAAACTGCAGGTACTACTGGAAGCCCACATTCAGTTTTTCTGGCATTATTGCAGCCAGACCATGTGTATATTCCTTAGATTATGTTTACTTTAGAGGACAGTTATATGCAACGAAGGTAGGGTGTTTTACTATTTGTTGCATGTGTTTAACATAATTTTGCATCAAGTCTTATATGGTTCCTATAGTGATAAACTCTTGAATGACAAAAGCAGACATCAGTAGTGTAAGATATTCCAGAGTTCCAATCGATAAAAATGTTCGGTTGCTGAATTGTCAGTCGTCTGGTGGACGTTGTTTGGTCTATTTGGTCATAAATATCTGACGATAAGTTACTTTGGTAGAATCCCTAAATGCAGAAACCTTAAGGATTTTTTTTTTTCAATGGTGAATCACCCGAAAGTTTACCCAAGTTGTGGTGGATGTTTCATATCCACAATAACAGTAGGCCAATCCCTTGGGGCTACCTTACATTTCCAAGTGTGTGGTGACCACTTTTCTTAAAACTTGCAACTCCAAAACTTTTAGGTAACAATTATTTTCCATGTCCGTTGCAAAATAAAACCTTGCCCTTTTTTTCAGTGCTCAAGAAAGAAAAATGTGTTGCATAAAAGCAAAGAGCATTGGGAAACTAAGAACTTGTTGCTTAGCATAAGCAAAAGTGGTTTGAGCAAAAGAAAATTGATTGTCTTTCTCTAATGTGACAATTTGGGTTCCGTTGTCATTACAAAGTCCAAAAAGGTTTCTTTCTCTGGAAGATAGTCAAACAGCTAGCTTGAGTAAATAACCCAAGACTTTGCCAGCCATTTCTTCAGTTATTTTTGCTAGTTACAGATAAGCTTTCCATAAACTCTCTAACCAGCCCCAAAATGTGAAAGAACTGAAAGAACAGTGAATCCTGTTAACACCCTTTAAGTTCCATTTCGGTCACTCTGTTGGCTTTTAAACTATATGCATACCTTGAAGATGGCAATCTGAGTTTCAGCTCATTGCGCTAGTGATTTTCCTTCTTGTCAACCTCCTTTCCCTTAGCAAGACATAAGAAAACTGAAAGAATCTCACCTGTTATTAATCGGCTGCTCTTCTCTTGTTTATGTTCAATTGTTCAGATGAAATATCAAAATGAAACGTAGACAGAAAAATCAATTCTTTTGGGGAAAAGAGAGAGCAAGAATGCCTTGTTAACTGCAGTGCTTTATAGAGCAATGACTTCGTAAATTTATGCAAGCCTCTTTTAGTTGAATCAGCGGTTGACAGTGATATGAAGAACTGAAAATTCTGATTAAAAGATCATGCAATGCACAGAAAAATGAACTTTATGGATTAAAAACTTCTTAACTAACACTACTTTCGATATGGTTATTTATGGTTCATAAATTCACCAAATGAGAGCTGTGCTATATATACGTTCGCAGGCCAAGGTCTTCCCATATTCAACGAGGAGGGAAATTTGGTATCCATGGAGACTGGCATGGGAATTTCATCGTCAGATGCACCATCAACGTCAGAGGTATATTCTATGTTTTATCTAGTTGAACGATGGCATGCAAATGCAATGAGATTCTTCTTTTATTTTCTGTTCTTCAAGTGCAAGTGGAGTACCTAAAACATAACAGATGTATCAGAGACAAGTGAGTCCTAGATGTTCATTTTGGTACACCAAATATCTCTTGTGCAATTTCATACACGTATATGCAATTTGCTCCGAATCAAAGGATAGTTTTCTTACAAACAAATGCAAAATAGCTAGCATACACAATGTTGCGAATAACAACCATTCTCAAAGCTACTGTGTTCTTCTCCTTCGTATGCTCTCGCTAGCATGTCATTAGGGATAGTTCACTAAAACTCTCTCGCGACTCACATTTACTGTTCCTGCAGATAATATTGACATTTGTGGTCATATATGTTTACATTTATGTTTAATTCAGGTAACAAGCAGTGGGGTCAGCAAATGTACGCTCTGCCTGAGTGATCGTCAGCACCCAACTGCCACAGCATGCGGTCATGTGTTTTGCTGGTTCTCTCTCTGTCTTTCATCTCCTTTTCACGGTGCTGCATTATGTACTTTTCTCATCAGAACATGGATCGTTAAGGCAGTCTCCTTTTATGCAGGATCTGTATTATGGAGTGGTGCAACGAGAAGCCAGAATGCCCTTTGTGCCGCACTCCAATTACTCATTCAAGCCTTGTTTGCTTGTACCATTCCGACTTCTAGCATGTCTGATACTTGTATCATTGTATGCTGATACTTGCACTGGAGAAAGGAGAAGAGTTGGACTGCTTTGACAGCTCGTCATTGCCACTAGGTTTAGTAATGGAGCTCAGATTTTCTGTGCATGTAAAATTCAATGTTATGGAAACAACTGGACATTAGCTACAAATAAGAACTGCAACTGGGTATTGATAAAGCAAAACAAACCCAGCCAGCTGTTTTTTTTAATGAATGTGGTTAGCCCATAGTAGTTACAAGGGATTCAACTCATGGTGGTAGGAAAGCAGGAGCATAGCTATTATCCAATAACATTGAATTCAAAGTAGGAAAGAGTTGACGGGATATGATTATGAGGATTAGGTAAATGCTTGTGCTGACTTTGGTGGTGATGTTGTATGCACTGTTTCTTTTATCTCTGAAGATTCTTGCATTCCTTTGAAGCCAAATGTTCCATAATGTAATCAACGGGAGAAGTCGAATGACTTTTTTGAGCAACTGCCCTTGTTAAAAGAAAATCCTACTCCATGAAGAGGTCTTTACAAAGTCTTGATCTTGGCGCTATTTGGTTTGGATTTTTTGGTTTTACTCGAAATAGGACCGTATAACCCGGATCGAAATTGGACCGGGATCGGATAGTAACCAATCCAATCCAATCTTCGGACCCTGATTTGAGGTAAAAAAATCGTTTGGGACCGGACCGAAAATCGGATAAAAACCGGATAAGAGAGCCCAACACACAAAATTTAACCTTACCCTTTCAAGCCTTGGTTCACTCAATTTCCCCCACATGCCACTCAAATTCCCACAAGCTCAATCTAAAATCAAGACTAAATTGGGACCGGATAGGTTCAAAACCGGACTGTATCCAATCCAATCTTTGATCCTTATATTCTAGAAAAAATCGGACCAGGACCGGATTAATTCGAGTCAGTTAAACCAGACCGGACCGTATAACCGCCCCTGTTGGCCCATACTGTTGAAGTCGAAAGTAGAAACGATTCCAAATCTGGTTTGCAATAGAGCAGTGCAGGAGCAAGTGAGTAGCAAACTCCGCTGATGCAGAGCAAGGAGAACAGTGGTTAGGGAGCGTCCATCCACGAACAATCAGCTAGTCCAAAGTAATAATTTTTCCTTGAAAGACTAGTCAATTAAGAGCTGAAATCTCTATGGAAGCTGCTATGTTCCAAATCATCTTTTCAGAGAAACATTTGCCAAGACAGAGGATTGTTTAGAGGTGGTTTGCTTGTGGGATTTTAAAAAATGAAGAATTTTGGTAAAATCTGAATTTTGGAATTTTAGGATTATGTTGGATTTTGCTATGTTGAATTTGTGTTGGATTTTAAAAATTGCATGTTTCCTTGTTGGATTTCAAAATGGACTTTACTATCTTGGATTTATGGGTTAAATGATGAGTTTACCTTCTTATCTTTCTTCCTATTATCATAAAGTATTTTTTTTTTGTTAATGATACTTTGGTCATTCATAATTAGTGGGGTCCACGGATTTTGGCACTTCTCAAAATCTTACCTCATGAGATGGGATTTTATAATCCGTGTGGTCCATCGATTTCGAGCACAAAAAATCTCACATTTATGGGTTCCACGGATTTAGGTCAACTTCATTTTTATCAACAAACATATATTTGGATCATAATCCAACACATAGAGATTTTGGGATTTTGAGGCAAAATCTCTCATCAAAATCCTACAAGCAAACGACCTCTTAAATTTTTGGACCGTAGAAGTTCCAAAGATTGTGCTATGATGCTTTGACTAACTCATTTCATTTATCAATATTGCTCATATCATATATTTGTGTTTGTATAATATTTGATTGGGAACGACTTCTTGTGTGATTGTTAGTACTTCATTATTGATGCATGATAGACAGTTAACCGGGTAATTAGTATAAATGGTCACAAACCTTTGCACTTAGTACAAAACAGTCACAAACCTTTAATTTGTAACCATTTGATAACAAAAAAAATTTACTTAGAACAAAATGGTCACAAATTAAACAGTGTGACCATTTCATACCAGTTCAAACTTTTGTTACCGTGTCGTTGCAAATTAGACTTTTGGTGACCGTTTTGTACAAATTAATTTCAAAAGTTTGAACGCTCAATCACCGTTACAATTCACTCTAGTTGTATGGTGGTTTTGTTAATGTATGTGAATGATATTATGTTGTTTAGGATGACAATGAGAGAATTCAATGGCTCACAAACGGGTTCCAGACTGCTTTTTAGTTGAAAAAACTATGTCTACTTTCTTACTTTCTTGGTATCGAAATCGAAAGGTCAACTGAGGGCATTCTTATTCGGCAAAGCAAATATGTTGATGAACACATGACCTGACATCTTATATGTCGTTCAAGTGGTTAGTGTCATATACTTAACGAACAAACTACCCGACCTCAAAACATGACAAACATTTAATTTGTAACGATTCGGTAACAAACCTTTGCACTTAAAACAAAACGGTCATAAATTAAATAGCGGTGACCATTTTATACAATTTCAAAGTTTTGTTACCGTACTGCTACAAATTAAAGGTTTGTGACCATTTTGTACTAAGTGCAAAGGTTTGTTACCATTTATGCTAATTATCCACAGTTAACCGGAAAGAGTAATCGTGATAGCATAATTGATTAATTGTACGGATGTCACCCCGTCCACCTCTAAAAGCGAAAAAACTGCCATATAATAGCATGATTGATCATTGTTCATTTGATTCACATGCCAATTTGAAAACTTTAGGAGAAGCAATACTAAACAACGCTTTTACTTCCCGTTTTACCTAGTGTTTACTTTGCCCCCTTGTTTTTTTTTTTCAAGCCGCAAGATACGAAATATAATTACAAGACCTTTGCAGGTCAAAACACAAAAGATAAATAGGAAAGAAGCGTCGAACGATCCAACGACAAAAGGGCTTTTTGTGCCACAATATGAACAACCCTAATATACCTACACATTTACTAGAATCCATGTCTGTGATTAGTTTTAATTTGTAGTACTAATTTGTGACTTCTTTAGTAGTTTTAGTCAATGCAGTTAAAAGCGCGATTCTACCTAAAAGCGAGAAATGGGTAAAATCGTAAAACGTAGAATCAAAGCGTAAAAGCTTAAGTTTTTTACTCACCCTCTAAAATAGCTAAATTATGTTAAGTTCAACATATAGTATGTAAAAAATGTGAGTGTAGATTTTAGATAAGTGATTAACTACATGAAATTCATAATTAAAATATAATATCTAACACATAAACTAATTTGTGTTGACTCAAAAGTAGAGAAAACTCATAACATCTTAATAATAAGCTCATAAATGTAGATCGTAACCCGTAAACGAGCTTGAAAATCCAAATTTTCATAAGCTGGTTTGAGTTTACATTATTACATACGATCAATTACCCATAAACTTTTATCGTAACCAAGGTAAGATCCACAGGTGAAGATTAAGAGAGAAGACTGATAGAAGGCCAGCGACTGTTGAGAATACCATTAGGTGTCTTTTCAACCTAATGTGAAGCCCCTATCTCGACACTAGTTGTAGAACGAGTGATGAATCATGTTTCCTTTTTCTATTTTTTGCTGATATGTCTCCAAAATTACATCATTTTGGGCCAATTAGAACATTTTAATGAGATGATCAAAATCGTATAAAAACGCTTCAGAATCACGATTTTACCGATTTTACTCATGTTTTTACCAATTTTTGTGACTAAGCGACTTTAGATAGAAACTAAAACGTTTTGGTGGCCTGGATATGTAAAAACGTAAGTTTTTACGTTTTAATGCACGATTTTGACTGCAATGGTTTTAGTTTCGTAATTCTTTTATGTGTTCTTTGACTTGACAAATTCGAAACACCTCAACCTCAAAACTGGTTCCTAACTCCTAGTATGATTTTTGAAAGTTTTCGTACCACCTATCAGGTTAAATTCGACTCTATCCATGTTGAAAAGTATTGCAATTTCCCCTTCTCCATTGTCAATTAGCCAAGCGGTGTTCCAGATCTGAACCAAATTGGAGCTCGGTCGAGCGCATGCGCTTCCATGTTAAGAAGAAGAGAAATCGCTAGGAATTTGAAGTGCCCCAAGTAAGAAGAGAGCCAAGACTAACAACCAAAGAAAGAAATTATAAAGAGAGGTTCATCATTCCACATTCAAAGAAACCAGCGATCGAGAGACAATCAATGGAGGATCTGTTAACAATGGAGAGAGTATGATAAAAAAGGAGAAGAAGAAGAAGAAGAGGAACACCCAGCTGAATCAATCAGGCTCGCTTGACAGGATCGAAGTTTGAAACCCCAACGATAGCTCCACCGATAGCGGCGAGGACGAACCCGCCCGCCGCGATGCTGAGCAGGAAGTTCTTCAGGGACGGAGTGAGGCTGGAATCCGCGGCGGCGCTAGCCACCTCCGGCATCGCCATCGAAGCGGCCAACGCGGCGGCAGTTGCTCCGGCAACCGCCCTCTCTTTCAGAGACGATGCGTCGACTCGGAAGGACCTTCTGCTGCTGGGATTCTTGGTGGTGGTGGTGGAGAAAGCCGATGGAACCGACTTGGTGATGGCGAGCCCTTTCGGTTGATTGTTGAACCCCTTCAGCTGGGTTGCTGAAGTCAGTGGCAGAGCCATTGAAACTGTCGCCATTTTTTCCTCTTTTTCTTTTGTGCGCGTTTCTTCTTTCTTCTTGTGGTGCTGGTGAGGTTGGTTGCAGATCTGAAGGGCTGTGACGAGATTGGAAGATATGGACAAAGGGTGCGGCGGAAACTGAAGCTAGATTCTTGGGGTGACGTGTCGAAACCGCATGATCCGACTTGGCTATTCGTTCGCCCAAGTTTGTAGGATAAGCTTATCCCCCCTTGTGACTTGTTATCGTGGTGGTGTTTGATCCAAGGGTTGTATATATAGGTGTCAATCGGACGGGTTCGGGTCGCGGGTTAATCGAGTTGAGGGTCAAGTGAGTTTGGGTTTATCGGGTTGCGGGTCAAGCAGGTTCGGGTTGATCGGGTTGTGGGTCAAGCGGGTTACGGATCAAGCGGGTTCGGGTTGATCGGGTTGAGGATTAATCGGGTTACGGGTTGTGGATCAATCGGGTTCGGGTTGATCGGATTGTGGGTTACAACAGGTCGGATTGCAGGTCGTTCGGTCCAAACCATCGAGTGTTTTTTATAATTAGTTATTACACTAATTTAAAACAAACTCACTGATCACCTTATTGCAATGAAAAAAACATGAAGATACATTATTAAACAAATGAGTGACTAGATTTTGCTTGAATATATCATAAACAAGTTTGATGTTGCAGAGGATTCATTAAGGTTACAATACCAACATAAAAAATTAAAAAGCTGACAACTTGCTTGATCATAAACCTATGAAACACGAAGTTATTCTCGAGAACCAAGTACCCAACAAGTAACTTGTTTTTCGAGAATGTTTGAAAGATCCATCTTGAGTTGAAGAATCTTTGTATAAGTTTTGATGATGATATGAGAGATATGGGAAACACAATGATGTCCAAGTTCTTGAAATATTGGAAAGACTACAACTTAGTGCTTGCTTTTTGTGTAATTTTGGATCCTCGTTACAAGTTTGCATTTGTCAAATTTTGCTATGAAAAGTTGGGCGAAGAGTACACTTCAAAGCCGAAGGCTATTATGGATGATTTGAGCTGCTCTTTAAGGAGTATAAAACTCAATCGTCCACTTTACCTAGTCAAAGTGTGGTGCATATGGCTTCTCCGAGCATTCCTTTGGATAGCCACACTGCTGTAAGTATAATTTTCTAACTACCTTTTGAGTCATCTTGTTGTTTATACTCCTTTCGATCTTATGTCCGATTATTGATGATATGTAGCTATATCAATTATTTTCAGGGTTTCTATGCTTCCAATATCAATTAGAACACATCAATTAGATCCGAGTTGGAATTATATTTGGCGGATCCTTTAATTCCTGCTTATGCTGATGGGGTTCCTACATTGCTTCCTTTTGAAGTATTGCAATATTGGAAGGATCATCAATTTCAATATCCTCAACTCTCTCGGATGGCAAAAGATGTGCTTTCTATTCCAATTTCATCAGTTGCTTTAGGTCTTTTAGTTTGGGAGGTAGAATATTATCCAAATGGAGGACTTCCATTTTGTCTGATACCCTTGAAGCTGTTGTGACAACTCGTAATTGGATGCATGGATATAAAATGGGTAAGAAAATTTCTATTCTTTATGTTTGTGTGTGTATACTAAAGTAGGTGAGAGTTTACTTACAATGGTGTTTTTACTTTCAATGACTAATTGTACAGATGAGGATAATGAAGATGCAGAATATGATGGAGAAGAAGTGAAACTTGTTGATTGATCGCCAAGTGAATTGTCATTTTAATTTGTGAACCTATTTTGTTGGTATGTAATATATGACAATAGCTATGGATTTGTATCCTACTATTTTTTATAGGGTTAATACCTTACTTTGGCCCGAACTATATACAAACTTTCTACTTTGGCCCGTGGTATCGGAAATTGCTATTCTGGCCTAAACTATGTAGCAAACTTTCTTATTTGGCCCAGAGGCGGGTTTGACCGTCAAATTAGACGGTCAACTCAGTTGACCGTTAGTCAATGTCCACCTCATTTGCCACATCAGCTATTAGTGAATAAAAAATTAATTTTGAATTTTGAATTTTTTTTACTTTCTAATAATAAAAATAATAAACGAAAAAAATTAATTAAAAAAGCTCCCCAAATTATTTTTATTTAATTTTAGAAAGTAAACAAAACTCAAAAATTCAAAAAATAATAATTTTTTATTCCTTGATAGCTGACGTGGCAAGTGAGGTGGACTTTGACTAACGGTCAACTGAGTTGACCGTCTAATTTGACGGTCAAACCCGCCTCCTGGCCAAATAAGAAAGTATGCTACATAGTTTAGGCCAGAATAGCAATTTCTGATACCACGGGCCAAAATAGAAAGTTTGTCCATAGTTCGGGCCAAACTAAGGTATTAACCCTTTTTTTATAAGGTAGAACTTAGTAAGCAAACTGTTATGTATCTTCTTATTATTAGAGTTAGGGTATGAGTTATGACTTATGTACTATTATGAATCTTCGTATGCTAGGTTAATATTTTGACAATGTTATGTGACCAGTTATATTATGTGTGGAAGAAAAATGTTGTAATTATTAGGTGCTGGTATATGATTGGCTTAATTAAGTCAATCATGTTTTTCATAGGTATGTGTTAACTATGGGGATATATATTATTTATATACATCAACCAAATGTAAAAAATGTTGACAACCCTCCTAGGATTTCTACTTATCTACCGAGACAGTGAGACTATTATGTGATTCAATTTAATGACAGTTTTCATTTGTAGACACAAACTAAACCTTTGTTCTTGGTGGGAAAGATGAAAAAATAATAGGGCAAATCACGTAAACTTTATATATATATATATTATCTACATATAATATTTATGCACAAAAATATATTATGTAGTATTATTCGTGCCAATCGGGCGGGTTCAGGTTGGGTTAATCGGGTTCGGGTTAGTCGGGTTGCGGGTCAAGCGGGTTACGGGTCGGGTGAGTTGCGGGTCTTTGACTTTTAGTCCAATCGGGTTGCGGGCGGTTCGCGGATTGGATTATTTGGGCGGGTTACTCGGGTCGGGTCATGTTTTGACACCTATAGTTGTGTAATCGTAAATAATCAAATGAGACGAGTTAGAGACCAACTCAATAGATTTGAGCACTATGTTAATCACTTGTTTACACCTAAATATCAACTTGTACCACATCGATTAATTACAAGAAATTTAATGGCTTTATAAAGCCTGCTCGACATGACTAATTAAAAGATTTAATAATGGACTTATGCTATTTAGTATTTACTAACACTTCTCCACTAACGAAAACTAACTTTTGGCAAATCTGAATATCATGTGCTTAGAAAATGAGGTCGCTAAGATTCGAACACATGATCTCTCGGTCAACCATTCTCAATTAGAAGTGCCTTAAATTTCATCTCAATTAACTACTATACTATTTTACTCATTTTTTCCCTTAGGAGTCGCCCATTACACTCTCCTACTCCTAATTGAAATAAATTATTTTTATAAACTAGTTATGATTTGGTTGAAATCTATTCAAGATATTGAACAATACATCTTTAATTTTGGGCGGATCGTATGCATCATTGTCATTTGTACATAACTCGTTATAAATACACTGAATATTAGGGGGTGTTCAAACGGTGTGGTTACCGTGGTAACCATTTTAACCGGTACTATTTGGATAATTTGGATAACGGTTTGGTTTGGTTAAATTTTTTAGGTGGTTTGGTTTAGGTGGTTTGGTTTTGTTTGGTTTCAGACACTGCTAACCAAACAAATCAAATTAACCAGTTAAATAATTAATCATATATCTCATTAATATTCTATATACATACTTAATAGTTTGCATAACCACTCAAGTGTCAAACGTTTCTCCCTCTTAGGCTCATGAAAAATAATGTTCAATATTGTTCCTATATTGTATATTTGTATTTGTAGAGTGTAGACCACAACATATGGATTTCTAATTTAGATAAGACTCATACAATATGTTGGATGAAAACTTGAAAGGAATGTCTTTTTCAACCTATGATCATTGCTAAGGAATAAGTCAATTTACAAAACAAAACAATTCATTAACCTCTACCACTAACATATATTTTTGTTACGTGAATACTTCTTTGACAGTAAGATAATTGTATTAGTTACATGTATTTATGTTAACGGTTAACTATAATTATGTGTTGATTGTTGTGTTTTCTTCACTATATAAATTGAGAATTGATGCATTAACCGGAGATTTTCTCACTTAATGATGTTATGAGTTATATTGGTTATTCTGATTAACCAATTAACCAAACCGATTAAACTTTAGTTTGGTTAATTTGGTTGTTGTGTTAGTTTGGAGGTTTGGTTATGATATTAAATTCCATGGTTAATAAATTGTAGACTTATTTGGTTTGGTAATTACCATGGTAACATTTGAACACCCCTACTGAATATATCAATAAAGAACTTATAAATCATACATCAAATATTTGAAAGGTCAACCATTCTCATTTAAATACATGTTATTTTTCATACCCGATTAACTATTCTACCTAATTTACCATTTTTCCTCCCGAACCAATGTGGGTCCTGGGACCCACCTTCTAACCTTCTCCCTCCGCCCTGGTCGTAGCTTTTAGTTTCTGGAGCTGTCACTGAACCTTCATTGAAGTAGAGTAACGTAACTTAGCTTGTTTCTCATTTAGCCATCAAAAACATCAAACACCCTCGTTCGAACATTGCTCAGAGATGTGTGAACTGATGTTTAGAATCGTTGTTCAAGAAATCAAAGCTGCAAGCATTAATATCAGACACCAGAGTTTTCCTCACAGGAAAACATCACTCTCATCATCATTTTTTTTTTTCAAAAACTCTCATCATCATTCATTATTTGTAAGTTAAATCTGAAGCAGCGGTGGATCCAACATATATAAAAGCACTCGACCATATTTTAATAAAAAATTAGAAATAAAAAAAAATATATATTAATTATAGTTTTCATTTGAATGTCAATTATATATGATGGTCTTTTAATCTAGCAAATTTATCAATAATGCAGTTTTCATTCATACCAATAACATACTCTCTCTCAAAGAAAATAGTTAAGCAATCAGCGGGAAATTCATCGCTAATTTTGTTGTGCAAATCAGTTTCAAATTCATCCAATACTGCACTATGCTTGAGATAATCGAGGATACCAATTGAATTTTACATGCGTAACTTAACAATTTTGATCTCCAGCTCCGCGTTTTATGAGTAATCATATCGATAAGGACTTGACAGTCCTTCCTAGGCAATTTTGCCAGTAATGAGGGGCACGCTAAGATAACAAACACGTAGGTTCATAAAGGGAATTCAATATACTTTGATATTCTAACAATCTCCTCCTTTAAAATTCTAGCAAAGAACTGACACTTCATCGGATTACATTTTAAACTTGATGTGTTATAAAACTAATCAAGCAATCTACGAATCCCCGCAACTCTTCTAATTGATCCATCGAAAAAAGCCATTAAATCATCAGGAAAATAAACATGAGTCATAGCAAGGGGCTTAGACCGAGGATGATAAGGTATTTGCTCCTCTCTTGCAGTCGTCGCCTTCTTCATTAATCACTCAAAGATCTCCATTACAACCATAAATACGTATGGCGACAGTGGATCACCTTGCCTCAAACCCTTCCTTGTTGCAAACCTCCCACAAAGACCCCACTGATGGCAACACTTACTGGAGTTGTCATACAAGCTTGAATTAATCTGACGAATCCCTCTAAAAATCCAATGCTCATGACAACACTTATAATTGGGATGTTTGTTTTTTTATTTATGAAAATACTGAAAGTATGATACATATTGAAAAGCACGATTAGTTTTTATCGTAGTTTCTTATTTTCAACATAATGTAATAGTAATTCTAGTTTAGGGTGATTTTAATTATCTAAATAACGATGAAAATACTTTATTTTTTCTCCTTCTGCCATAACACACTAAATAACCCTAGCCCGCCCATAACTTTTTCCTGAACTACACACATTCGATTAGGGACAAATCGCTTGAGACTGCAGCAATCTGTGACAGATCATACAAAGATCGCTTGCGACCATCACTTGCGACCTCAACAATCATGAAATCCACGTCCAATGGGACCATTTTAACTCAGTATAAAAGAAACAAAATTTCTACATGTCACGATCTATATTTCTCAAAGTCAATTAAGTTCTCAAAGCACATTGTTTTGAAGGAGAACCACCCAATTGAAGAGGAAGGCATCTATGGCGAAATCTTGAATAGATCAGATTAGAAGAACCAGCCCTTCGTTGGTCCAAGTGCGTAACTGGTTGCTTAGATTTCAGAAAGGTGGCTATGGGCGGCACATAGCTTGAATACCAATACAATCATTCAAGCAGGGAGCCCAGGCCGGTCGTGTTACTATTCTCATTTCTCAGTATCATATCCATGATCCATCCTCAAAAAGGCCCGAGCAACTACAGACTAAATCCTTCTAGATGTAACATTCCAATGTAAGAAACTGCTCTACTCAAGTTTGATTACATCATTAACCTACCTATTTCTATAACTAACAGCATCAATTACCAACCTTTAGGACTGCTGAGCTTTCTGCTACTTCAACTCCCCACAGGAACTCCAGACACACCTGCGAGGAAAGGCGGTAACTATCATTCTTAAAACTGAGCTCACTTCAAACAATATGCTGAACTCCAGACTTATGTATGATGAGAATGGCCGAGTGATGACTGTATCGTCAGAAGATTACCACGGGACTGATCACACATCAGCGGGCATTGGGCAGCAAATTCAGGACTGCATCGTTGCATCGGTTGATACGGACTGGGCATGGCTCAGATGAACCTGTTGTGGTAGGAGATAGTATTTTATCTTCAGCTCCTCGAATATCTTCTTGATCTCCATCATCAGTTCGGTTCTTCGTTTGTTCTTCTCTGGGTATTCCTGGAAGTTCATTGTGTGATTACAGAACAGAGCCATCTTTAACTTGTTCACCTCTTGAATCTCCTGCACCACAATGTTGTGGTTAGGATGCCAGTGCTGTGGATTCTTCTCCAAGTACCTGACCAGAACAAGATATCAATGTGAAACAGAACCAAAAATAATAATAAATAAAAGCAAACGTTAGTAACAAACAAACCCTGAATACAGAATCAACTATAAGCAGCACATAAAATCTACTTTCAGGGCAAAAATACAGAACTGCAGAATCTTAGAATGAGGCATGAAGGTAAGAAAAACTACAACCATTGAGGCAAATGTACAGCGCAATTTCCATAGTTATCCTCACAAGATTGCCCCTCAAACACATTCATTCATGGTAACAGAAAGGTAGAAACGGTGGCTTACTTCTTGATTCTGTCCTTCAGCAAACCAATCTTCTCGACTGTTGTAGCAAAGTCGATAGAGAACTCCACTGTATCACCCATATCAGGGCTTCTGTAGTAGTTGCTGATAGGCTTTGTAGCCAAAACAGAATTCGGATAAAATAACTTCTCATTATTGAGTTTCAAAAAAACCGTTGTTAAAATGTTCATCTCTTCAACCAAGAGCTGTCAAGTTTGCAAATGAAATAAGAGTTAGCATCAGCCTTCAGAGTGGATTTAAAAGCAAAACATAATTAGAAACATAAATCATTCAAGAACTTACTGGGACGCCATCAACCACACAGCGGTCACCAACATCAAATGGATGCATCACAAAGACAAATATAATAGCTTCAAATATAGTCTTGCAAGTGTTCCCGAACATAAAAGCTGCCAACACAAGCTGCGATGACAGGAAGACTAGCACTTTCGTTGTAGCAATCTCCATCAGAAGAAGCCAAATAACAATTGATACAACGATGAGGATCCCCGTCACCAATTTGTTAAGTTGTTTAACTGCAGTTTTGGTGTCGTTTAGAGCATGTGCAAGTGCTCTCCTCCCATTGTAAACCTTCACCTGTCAGGGAGGAAAGTATAATACAATTGCACATATAAGTTGAGAATCTGATCATGACAAGAAACCTGTTGAAGCTCATCTTCTTGTATTTTCCTAACACAGTAACACAACTAAAATTCACTCTGAAACTTGTGAAATGAAAGCCTTACCACCCATTCAGTGAAAGCTTTTTTGTCAATTCTTCCACTTTCAGAACCTTCAATCAGTGGAAAGAACAGATCCACTTCTTCCTTAATCATAAATCTCAAAAGGTCTTCTTCCTCAATGTACCTATTCATGAAGGAAATTATTAGACCAGAAAAAAGAAGCAAATATCATATAATCAACTTGTTGACTACATAAAGAGTCTCACTTGCAGCGACGTGGAGCAACATTCCTGAATATTCTTAATGCAGCAACAGTTGCTTCCAACTCATTAGTAATCTCCTGATCTTTCTGCCCTCCATCAACATGACAGCTTTCATCCAATGAATTCGAGATTGTTGAAAGCCCTGATTTAGTGACTGCATCGACCAGCACTTTCATGGTCCACGCCGAAACCTTTTCTTGCTTCATCCTGTGAACCTGTCCCATGTCAATCACCTTTTTCTCTTTCGTTCCTTTGCCTTTTTTCAACTGTCTGAAGCTCAATAGCCCTGTGCTAGGTACTTTCCCAACCATCTCAGCTGCCTCTATAAGTGGAGGCCCTGAAAGTGTTTGCAAGACATATTGATGAAACACTGATTCTTGAATCCTGTCGAAGTATCGTTTGACATGGTAATTAGAAGCTAAAATCTTCAGCGACAAGGTCTTTAACAACCACAAGAACGATCCAATTAGAAGAGAAACAAGCGTCCACGTTACAGAATCTAGAATCTTGGTGGCAGTCTTTGAAACTTCAACTTCCCCTTTGAATAAAAAGGCCCAAGTTGCAAGAACCAAACCAATCCATACAAACACCTGAACACTCTTTTTCAAGCCATGAACAAAGTAGAGCACCTTTTTCCTCAGCAAGAAATTAATCTCGATCAAGAAAACCACAATGTGCATAAACCAACTAGTAACCAACAACCCGAAGAATATCACCATCACGAGAACACACCATTTCCAGAACTCCAAACCCCAAACCTTGGCCCTCTCCAATTTCTTAATAGTCAAGCTAGCCACTAAGCAACCTACAATGCAAGAAATTGCTGCCCACTGAATCACAAACTTGGCCACAGTTTTATTCCTCTTACTCTTTTTCTTGTGTATCTCAACTCGCCTCACAAACTCCCTCTCCTCCTCCTCCTCCTCCTCGCCATCCTCCTCCTCCTCCCCTTTGGAGATTCTTCCAGGAGATGTCATCAACGGTGTTTTCTGCGTGATAGAGACGGTCCTTGTAACCGAGGCAGGCTTAGCATTAGACGAATCCTTATAGGGCGAACCCGAGGCGAAATGTTCTTGCAAAGTCGTGCTATCCTCATCAAGTGTGTTGGGATCAATTGTACAAGGCTGTTCTCCAAACCTAGACTTTGGCTTTGAATACAAGGACCTAGCAAATGACCTCCTTCTAAGAATGTTCTCAGTGGCGGTGTTGGTTGGAATTTTAGGGGGCTTATTGGGGCTAGGACTGAATCGTGAAATTTCAGGAGAATTGCAACCCGCTGGGACAGAGTCCTTCAGGGGTGAAGTTGGAACGCTCTGCCTACCTCCAAAACCTTCTGCTGCTGCTGCTTGGTCGAGGGAAGCAGCCATTTTGGGAGTTCTGCCGTCCATTTCGGATTGAGGGCTCTGATTTGCCGAAAATGTTATAACAACCTCCCCGCCATTGCTGCTTTTCTTCTCTGGCGTGCTCATGTTAGTCCCCTGTTTCGGCCTTCCTCCTTCAAAGAAGAAAAATTTTCAAAAACCCAATTGGTATAAGGGAATATAGATATACTACTGCTCCAGAAAGGGGACGACGACAAATAGATTCAAAGATCCAAACAGAGTAGTAATGAGAAACAAAATAGAACGGAAGCGAGTTTCCCATTAAACTTCAAAAAACTTGTTATTCCAGAATAGTTACCAGTGTCCACATTCGGTAGGAAGAGAAAAAGACTGGTGAGTAAGTGTTGTTAATTAGACAGAGACAGGGTTGGAGAGGAGAGGAGACCCAAATGAAAAGGACGGATGAGAGACTTACGTTGTTGGGTAGAACCTAATTAACCCAGTTTTCAGCGGTAGGTTTACCCAGAAACAGAAACCTGGACTCCTTTGCTGAAAGCCATTAGAGTCCAACTTCCCACTCGCAGCTTGCTTACTGGTAGCTGGAGGATCCGGGAAGATGAACTTGGGAAAACAACTTCAGAGACGTCACTGCAATAAAATAATTTATATCACCGATTCACCTTCTCCAACACCCACATTAGAAGAAACTCGAAAGAAAACAAAAAAACACGATATTATTACTATTTGGAAAGCAAGAAGACTATATGATAATGATTAATGGGAAAATGGGAAAATATACATATTATATAATAAATAGACAGATAGATTTTCTTAGGGAGAATAATATTAAACTTTTTGTTTGTGGAAAACTGGAAAAACATATACATACATATAAGTTGATAGATCTAGTCTAGAACAAGTTTGAGAAAGAGGGAGCAGCAGGTGCGGCGAAGATTGAATGAGTAATTGAGTGGAAATGGGAGGAGGAAGCAGGAAAGTCAAAAAGATATTGGTAGACAAGCTCGCAAAGTTTCAGACCAGCACAAACTGGTTTCTATCGTTATGCTGGTTTCACAAGTGGAATAGTATGACTGGTAGTATAAGTATAACCAGTTTGTGTCGGTTCATGTCGAGTTAACAAAATACGTAAAAATGTAAAAATTATTAGCATCCAGTGAACTTAATCATATATAAAAACATATTTGATGACAATTTACTTACAATCCAACAAATAACATCAACTTTTCAATTTAAAATTCATAAATAAATAATAAATTATTTTTTATTAAGTAAGTTTACTAAAACAATGTCATTTTTTTAAGATCGTAAGTAAATCATACTAGTAATGTTCATGATGATTTCATAACCAAAACCGATTGAATCAAGTTCAACCGGCCGGCATGACAACCTGGAGTTCTAATAATTGTAGGCAGAGGTAGCTAGGTTGTGCTTGTGCACGTTTTTGTTTTCTTCTTTTTGGATGGATGAATGTTGTTTGGGTACTTTTTCTTTGCAATCTCTTCACTCATTTTTGTGTATTATTATTTGGTTCGTCTCTCCAGATAAATACTACTTAAGTACCAAATTATTGCCAATATTTTCTTTTGCCTTATAATAATTGCAACAGTTATAAAAAAAAAAAGTCTAAGACGCCTCTTTTTATGTAGTAGTTTCCTCGGGAAAATTAAATCAGAGACCATTAAGTTACATTAACTACCAATCTAGCCCGTAACAAACAATAATTACCAAAAGTAAATCTTTTGTTTGGCATGTGCTCTCGGAAAAAGGAAAAAAAATTCAGCACATTCTCAAAAGTTATCTCTCTAGATTTATGGCAATGGGGCAGGTCCGGTGCGGGTTTCTTGGTACCCAGACCCGCCCCGTGGCAGGTCGGGTCCAGGTCGGGTAATTGATCACGGGTCGCGGGTCGGGGCAGGTCGACCCAATGGGTAAGCAATTTATATGAAAAACATTAGAAATATTCGTTATTTTTATTATAAGACTAAGAAAATAAATAATATTATGACAATTGTAGTTAAGTTATTGGAGAAATTGAAGTTTTTACTAATTTACAACTTTATTATAGCTAAAATATGATGCAATAAAAGAAAAATTCTAAGTAATTTGACTAAGATTACATGTAATTTAGACAAGAACGGGTCGAGAATGGGGCGGGTCAGGGCAGGTCGGGTCGATGAGACTACCCATGCCCGCCCCGCCCCGCCTACGGGGCGGGTCGGACCCGCCCCAAAACAGGTCAAACAGGTCGGATAAAACGGGTCAGGTCGAAATTGCCATCCCTACTTCTCTGATTATTGTCAGTTCACAGTTGGAATCTCACATTTGTTGACCTCTCTACTCTCTAGGGATTGCAAGCAGGTCGAATATGGGGAATTTAGTGATTATACATTGTGCTACTTTAATTAGTTTGAATTTTATCTACACTCGTAATCATGCAAGATTCGGATAGTAAATTAAAATCGTACACATATCAAATTGGATTTCGAGTATTTCTGTATATCCACATATAATAAATTTTTCTTATCTTTTCAACAATTTTGTGTTGCTAATCACAAGTATATTAACATTAGTAAAACAAAAGATTATAAATAACAAATCACATCACTCTAAGAAATAATATAAAAAATGGAACACTAGTTCTTGAGATGTTCCAAATATACTAGGAATACGAATATGTTGAAATAAAAAAATGATGATTTATACAAAATATAGTATACGCACATATAATCGGGTGGGGTATTTGGATTGGATAGTAAGAAAATCGTAACCGCCTCTTACTCATGATATTCAAATTCTTATTTTACACATACTACATGATGTTTTATTTAGTTCAGGTTGTATCCTATCTAATAGGGTAGAACTCAGGCTGGTACCATAATTATTAACTTTTTATCATCCATATAGACCTCCAAAACAACTTGGTTACGGTGTTCACAGACGATTTATAAGCATGTTCTCACAAGTTGTCTGTGAGAACATAAAAAATTTGGTCTCCGAAAAATAGGATGAAAGGCCTTATGATGTCTTAGATCCAATTCAAGAAAAAGATAGACAATTATTTTATTTCCTACTTCTAAACTAGCTTGCATTGGTTTGTTGACCACAATATTTAAATCCATTTTTCTTGAATTATTCTAAAATAATATTTTTGTGATTTATTCATCCCATCCGTATATGAACCCGTGTTAGTGAAAATATAATATGACCCCATTATGGTTGATGATCTTACATAAGATTTTTGCACTTGGCTCCTCGTGACCAGATTACTTAAAGTTCAAGAATGTGCATATATCGTTTATAAAAATCATTAAAAAAATAAATCATAGGGCTATACACATTTTTTTTAGAGAAATAGGCTATACAAATTGGAATAATTGTATCCCAACTTGTACTCTAACACGAAGGTTATACATATATAAAAAAAATGCATTCTATTTCGGTTGGGACCGAATAGCGTACTAACGCCGATTAGTGTTAGCATCATTCTAACATAAGACATTAAGACATTAAGTATTTAGTCGAGACTACAAACTTATTAAGAACCTTCCGCAGTATAACTGTCATCATATCTGGACTTGGTGAATTACAACTCGGCTTAACTGCAATCTAGGGAGAACCATATCTGGGTGACCTCTCTCGAACTTGAATCACAACTTTGTTGCTTTGTGTTTGGTTAGATTAGTTATAACTTCACTACAGTTAAACAGCTAGATAACAAGAATCTCACATAGTAGTCATCACACTTGGGACCCGGGTTGACAAATAAAGTTGAACTCGCTATACTACGCATTTGTAGGTGGTTACAACTCGGGTTGACAAATATAATTTACAAGTCTTTCAAAATATGAAAATTCGTCATGGTTTGCTGTAAAAAAACAATACAATTATGAATTAAATTTTTATTTATCAACTTAGTTTTATAAACCGACATACCTCACAAACATTCCTAGGTCCATCACTGATTGTGAATGTTCTTGTCTTAAGTTAAGTGGTAGTGAGGAAGAGAAGTGAGCTTATCCTTGCTCTAGTTCTATAAAGGGTTTGAGTTCCACCTAAAGAAACTGAATTTGAAGTTAGAATTATCAAATAAGATAAAAACCTAGGAAACTAGGTCTCAAAAGGTTGGAAACCTCTGAGTTGAGGCACAAAGCAATAGGCCAAACTTTATTAAAAAAAAAATCTGTGTATTTACTTACTTGTAGCATTCATCTGTCTGTTTGGTTTGGCTTCTCGTTTGCATGTGCTCTGTTTGTACCACTCCTCTTTTCTACTCCGCAGGTTTTTCAAAGGTGGGAAGTCGATCAACACAAGTTTGAAGACAACAAGCCTTTAAGAATTTGACTGTACATGGGATTTTTTATTATCCTTGTACGCATCTTACAACTAAACCCATAGCCAAATTGAAGTACATCTTAAAGTGTGCACTTGGAAGTGAAGAGTTCGAAAAGGTTTCCATGTGCAAATCTGTGACACTCTGAAAGTCACATATGGAGGTATATCCCAAGTCCAAGATACATATATTAGGATGTTAGTTAAAGAATATGATATGTTTAAGATGAAACAAAATGAAAGCATAGCTGAGATGTATGTAAGATTCACAAACATTGTTAGCGGGCTAATGACCTTAAGGAAAATGTATACCAATGCAGACTAGTTAATAAAATTTTAAAGTTGCTGCCTAGATCATGGAGACCTAAGGTAGGTGCTATATAAGAATCTACAAATCTTGCAAGATTCAAGTTAAGTGAGCTAATTGGTTTAGTGACTGCTCATGGCAATGTACTTAGGATCGAAGGCAATGAACAACCTAAAAACATAAAAGACTTAGCTCTAAAATCTCTCATAGATGATGGGTGGACAGAGGTGGCAAGTTACTGGAGGAAAGTCTAGTTCGTTGCCGATACAGAGACAATTCGACAGAGCTAACGAGTGTTCGACCTTGAGGGCAAGGTCGGTTCTTCAATGGGAGTGATGGAAACACGATAGGAGAGGACGTGCCGGAGTAGTTTTTTTTTTTTACAAAAGATAATCATATATTGATTCAAAAAATAGGTAGTTACATCCTGGAGTTCAGTCAGGTCTGAAAATCAAAGAAACGACTCATAGTCGGGTACAATGAAAGGGTCTTTCTAGCCATCACATGGGCTACCCTATTGATACGCCGACCTACAAATCGAACACTAAACCCAGAGTGAATGGCAAAGTAATGCACGATTTCTTCAAGAATAGCCCCCCATCCGGTTATCTCTGGTATCAGCCCGATTGATCTTCTCGATGATCACTTTAGCATCGCCTTCAAACCTCATTTCCGTGAAGCCGTTGCCTAGACACCATAAAATAGCCTCTTGAAGCACGAGCAACTCGACCACCATAGAATTGATGGATATTATTTGAGAATTAAGTAAGAAAATAATAGAATATCTAATTCTCAATTATTCCTCTTTTTCTCGATTCTTCCTCTCCCAATCTCAATTTCTTCTAAAATCCTTAATTTCTTTCTCTAAATTTTCTTGATTCCATCAGCTCCCAAGCTGGGCAGAGAAGGAAATTAGTTTTCCATTGGCTGTGTGAGTAAGCCAAGCTAAAGAAAATTTAGCTCCATTGCACTGGCCTAGTTGGGGAATGAAAGTTGTGGCTCATGTCATCAAATTTCAATAAGCTCAGGTTACAGACAATTAGTTGCGAGTCAAGTTGATTGAACAAATTGACTAAATGATCACTCGAGCCGAATTCTGTTTTGACCACTTAAATTCAATCGGCATACTTCTACTTATAAATTAAGGGTGCCAAATACCAATC